ATGACATATTAAAAAAGTTTCTAACATTTCATATATTTACCTAATTTAACATATTACTTTTGATTCTTATTATCTTACTTACTAATTTTAACATGTCAAAGAGGTTTATCAGTGTTAATTTTATTAGTCACATCCCTTACATTTATCATTTTCTTAGAATTTAAAATTTTTTCAGAATGTAAAATCATATTTATTTCCTTCTATTTATTATATGAAACCTTTGCAATAGAAAAGGAGAAAATAGCTAAAAAAAAAATAAAAATTGAATTAATGTTAAATCTGAATATAAAAATCATATTTGGCATATAAAAGTAAAAATTGATTTTTTTTAGGTGTTCCTTCCCTTTCTATTTCAAAGGTCCCATATGGTTAATTTCTTAATGCCGTAATGCCGGCCAAATATCACGTGAAGTGGAATTTTTGTGAGATAAGGGTGTAACTGTATATGTCACGTGATAAATACTTTAAAAATATTTGGGGTTGGACGATAAGGGTCTACACCCCCTCCCTAGGTTAAGGACGCCCCTGAGATAAACGCACTAATCACATGACATTTTTCGTGAAAGATCACGTAAAGAAATTTAACTTCTTTAGTACATTGGGCAGCATTTAAAATTCCTATTTAAGTATAAAATCAGCAATCTTAAATTTTGTTTTAAAGACCGAATTTTATTTTCTTCATAAAACATTATAAAAAAATATGGATGCAAATATTATTAGTATCTACGATTTACCTAGACCTTTAAGTAACATAATAACCAAACATGTTGGAATAAATCAAGATTGGATGGTGGTTAAGATAATTCCATTTAAAATTCACGTGTTCTGTAAAGAAACTCTTAAAGAAATTTGGAAATTTCCTTTTGATCCAATTGATATATGTCAAGACTTTTTGTATGATCCGACGAATTCATCAACATCGGAAAAATCAAATGCTAACATGTCCTTTTTAGTCTTGACAAAGGATGGATCTATATGGAAGATTCAATCTAATGTTCAAAGAAATAAAAGGTACAATATTTTCTTTTTTAATCAAAAAAAAAAAAATCAACTATTTACTTAAAATTTTTATATCAGAAATTTCGATTCTCATCAAAGAAATGAAAAAACATCGCCAATGCAATCAAGGCAAATCAAGAAAAACAACGAATTTGACAGTAATTATTCACAGAAAATAACCCGGTCACCAAATAATGGTTATTATAACGTGTTTATCCCTCCTCCTATATTTACTGTTGGAAATGAATGTTTAATCTTTTCAAAGGAAGGACTTTGTTCGCTATTCCCCTGTAATTTGTTCAATGATAATGGAATTTTACTTGGAAAAAAGGATGGAGAAATCGGATTTTTATCATTAAAAGATAGAATAGTTTCTGAATATAATTTATTCGTACCATTTGATAATAATGAGGAGGAATATAAAAAAAATGCTACATGTTTTTTGACCGATATCCTTTATTTTATTAATACACTTGTTCCTTGAAGTTGTCTTCATTATAATTATACTTGACATATTATAATCACTTCGTCTTCATGATTCGACAAAAGAAGTTGTCACGAGTTCACCGAATATTACATTGATTTCTAAAGAATTAGCCGAAGCCGCTATTGGACCTATATAGTAATTCATTAATATAAATTTTTATCTTTGATTATTATGTTTCAAAAGGAAGTTTATTTATTTTTTTTTAATATATATATATATATTTCTTATCCAGTTATGATACGGATCTTTTGATAACCGGTTATTCAAGTGGTATACTGTCGTTTCATTATTTTTGTAAAGGGAATGTTGAATCTGATATATTCACTTCGTTGAATGTAAGTGTTGGATAAGATATTTTCTTTACTCGTATTTATTTTAAACCTTTACTTGATAAATTACAGGAATCTATCCAAGCCATTTATACGTTACACTTAAAACAAGGTGAAGAAACTAAATTAGGATCTAGTTTACTTCGACCTAAACCTAAATTGTCCACCGTTCACAATACATTGCTCATAGTTGGGTGAGTCAGATATTCAATTAAACTCTCATTTTTTTGTTTTTAAAAAAAAAAATAAACTTATATTTTATATATATATATATATATATATTACAGCGTAAAAGGAACAATATCGTTATTATCTACTGTAATTTCTGAAAATTCTTCTTTAACTTTGGCTTATAAAGAGTATTATGTCCCTAATCCAGTTCATTCCTCTTTTGTTTATAAGGTAGAAATTATAATCTCCAAATATACCTTGATAGTATATCAAAAGGATTAAAGTTTATTTTGTTCGTTTATTCTGTAGAATCGGTTGGTTGTAACAGCTGGAGAAGGTCGCATAATTGTTATAAATTTCGATAGAAACATGTTTTCGGAAGGTAAATGCATCATGGATGAGAGATTGTTTTATTGCATGTCTAGCTTTTTTTTTTATAAAAAAAAAAGTAAGAAAGAGTGAACTTGATTCTTATTATTGTTATTATTATTGTTATTATTATAGGCAAATTCGTTCCTTTGCACACAATTCCTGTAATTTTTCCAAAGGGAACCATTAGAATGTGTCATTTTATTGCTTCTGAAGAGAATTCATTTGATGGAATATTTTATGCTTTAACAGTTGATGGAAGATTAATTCGATCTCAATTTTCAGTCACAAGGTTAATTCAGTTTACACCAAAAAAAAAAATTTCATGTAAATTCAATTATTAAATTTTTTTTTGTAGCGATCAAACTCCAAAACAAATGATGAGCGTTGAACAATTGAAAGAAGAAATTCACAAGCAAACGATTATTATCAAAGAATTAACATCCAAGCAAGTGGTGCTGGACAAGCTTAATGCGGTATAATCTTGAAAAAAAAAAGGAAATACTAGCTTTAAATTCATTCGTAATGTTTTTATCTAACTTTCTTGCTTTCTTTCTTTTTTTTTTTTTTAGGAATTAAATCCTGCAATAATTGCTCGTAATGAAGTTATTCATGAATTGCAACGTGTACATCAAAAACGTGAAACTGAACAACAGCTGGATGAAGATAATTCCCCATTAGTTGTGGAATGCTTTCCGATAATTATGCCACATTCTATGAATGGGAGTGTTACTCAACGAATATTTTTAAGAATTCGTTTAACGAGCAGAATTGGAATTCAATGGTCAAAATGGTGGTCATGTATCCTTTAAACTCTTTAACAAGATATACACAAAAAAAACTAATATACAAATACCCTTAATATTGCAATACCTTTAATATTTGTGAAGTATTCGTTACTATGACACATCATAGTAGAAGTATTGGTACTTCGAATCATGAAAAGGCTAAACATGAGAGTTTATGTTATTCAGTATCATTGTTGGATATGACGGTCGCATGGTAAATGTAATGGTTTCGGTTTTTTATTGAAATTTCATAAATTAAAATTTTTTTGGATCGAAAATTGTAGGGAACGAGATATTGAAATAAATTTACGATTTTTACAATTTCCCATCATGATTAAACTTGCATTATGCTTTACACCTCCAACACCAATAGATCATACGAATGACGTTCAATATCAACGTATGTATACAAGGCATTCAAATCAAATAAATAACGCGAATATTTTCTGACATTATATAAATATATATACATATATTGCCAGCGCAAGCAACTTATTTTCCTTTGGTGAATTTACAGTTCGATATATTGGATTTTATAAATCCATGTCCTCAACATATTTTGTTAAGATTACAACAGGAACGTCATTTTACAATATATCCTTCTTTACCTGATTTCATCACACCATTTGATGGCAATTTTTTTGCTACAAAGGGCGATTTAAGAAAATTTATTGAAAAACTTATGAACAAACCAAACGAGGTATTTTTTACATAGATATAGATTTTTATTTGAATAGTTCTCCCTCACGTAGTTTGTCTAATCAAAATGTTATATATTTGATTTCATAGGAACTTAGACCCTATTCAGATTTTATATCATCATTAAATATTAACTCGACATTTATAAAATTTTTCTTGAGATCAGGTGATGTTTCAGAAGTAATTGATTTAGAAGAAGGTAATAATGGTTATGACGGAGCTTGGAAACGATGTCTATCAGTGTTGCTAGGAGAAAACGTTGAAACGTAAGTTAATAATATTTCATTATGATGTGGAAAATTTATTTATTTTTATTTTTGATAAATAGAGAAAAGTTACGAGAAATTATTAAATCCGTCGATTATGCAGTATTTACAACTTCAATGAGTCTTGAGCCCGTTATTTTGAATCTCAAAAAACGTAGGTTAGCCTTTTTTTTTTTGTTCGATTATGCAATTCTTTTTGGTTGAATCTTTTTTTTTTTCACATAGTGGATCCGATAGAATGCTCGAATGGAGTTCCATTCAATTCAACACCTGTCGAAATAAGGATTGCATGTCGTACACCTGAAGTTTTATTACTCGTTGAAGCGGCGTTATTATCAAGGCTACAAGATTTTTGTTTAGATCATCCTCTGACAAGATCTGAATCTCCCAAGTCATCTTCAATGAAATCAAACGTTACAATCAATAATAACAATTCTGGTAAGCATTTGAAGAACATTTTTAAAATTATCCTATTCATTTAAAATATCAAACCTAACACAATCTTTCAACGCAATTTAATTAAAGTACGACAAATAACGTCTGTTGATCTAACGAGCCAATTAAATCTTATCAAGGAAGATTATGAAAATTTGATTAACATGCTTGAAGATCAACCAAACGAGAATTCCACAGTTAATCAAAAGGAAGAAACTATTGAAGAAAATCTTGGTGATTGGAATCAATTAGAAATGGTGGCCAAAAGATTAGAAAATAGAGTTGTTGACATATTTAAAATTATTAGAAAAGAATTGGAAAAGCATTGGATAAGTGGAGTTGTTGAAATATAACAATTAAAAAGGAAAAAAAATTTTTTTTTTGAAAATAAGCCTTAAATCTTAAAAAGTTTAATGTATATAAGTTTTAATTATTAATTACAACGGATCTTTGAGCATCAAAGCACTGTCTTTTTAATAATCTGAAAAACTTCAAATTCTTCAATAGGAAATTGGTCGGTATTCGCACGTAAAGGTTTTTCATAGCTAGTTTGTTTACAACCACAAGGCTGACCAATTTCAAAATGACCTTTGGGGAATAAATCACCCTTACCAAATACAGGGGAACAATAAACATTACAATAAATCGAATCTATTGGATTAATGACTCTACTTAAAATATCTTCTTTATCATCAGGATCTTTCCTCAAATTAAAAATAAAACTATTTTTAAGAGGAATATCATTTTGCTGATCTTTATTTGAATTTGAAGAAATAGATTTTTTACTCCAAGTTAAAGGATTATAACCACCAAGTATTTCATTGGAATTGGCAGGTTTAATTAATACAACGGCCCGATTATCCGTTAAAGTTTGTTGGAGGAACGGTTGATCACGACTTCCACGTGCAACGAGTTTAAAATAATATGGTATATTTGATGGTGTGTAAAATGGGGTTTGATTATCTGGGGAATCCAATCTATCAATCCAACTTGCGATTTTTGCCGCATGACGAGGCTTAATAAGAACAGATTGAATTCTTGCATGATGATGAGTATTTTGTTCAGTTATAAGATATAATGATTTTCCTTTAATACCAGGCTTGTGTAAAGTTGCGGGTAAAACTCTTTTATAAGAATGAACTTGTCTTTCAAAATCAACGGGAGACATATTACACCATCTAATAAATGGGATCAAAGGACGTAAAACTTTCTCTAATTCCACACAATCTTCATCGGGCCACCTTGCAACATCTGGTATTACCGTTTTGGTTGGCAATTGACCTATTCCCCATTGTACGATGCGTTTCCAAAGTTCCAATTCTCCCATACCGAGATCGTCTCTTTTTAACAGCCATATAACTGTATCGTCTTCTAATGATGCGAAATCATCTGATTTTAATAATAATTCTGGTTCTTGATAAAGGGCTTCTTCCATTGTTTCGGCAAGCTTTGTGCATGTCGGATATTTCTGCCCAGCGTTATAAATTAATACAGATTGTTTGTTCATCCATATATGCTTTCTATCTAATAATTCTTCTTGTAACACTTCAACTAAAACACTAAGGCATAATTCATCTGCTGCTCCTAAAACATCCACAATTTGAGCTTCATTAAACTTCTCTATATCAATGTTTGATGAATAAATGTAACTAGAATTTTTTTTTTTTTTTGAGAAAAAAAGTTAATAAAAAATTTCAATTAAACAAAAAGAACTCTGTTGGTTCTTTTGACTCACTTGAGAATGATATCGAATGTTTCTGGAGTGATATTAGGTTTCGTAAAAACATATTTCCCATCCTCTTTAATCGCCCATCTACTTGATAATGCTTGACGAAAATATGGCGATCTCAACTTTAAGATATAGTAGTGAGCCTTAAATTTTTTCGTGTTTGGCTCTTCACCCGCTTTGATAATCACATCATGTTCATCATCGTTTTCAAGTAAATTTAAAAAATCATTCTTAAATTCTTGAAATAATCTATTATTAATTTTTGAAGTCATTTTTTTTTTTTTTTCTTTCCTTTTTCTTTTTCTTTTTTTTTTACTGTATTAGAAATTTTCAGAAATCAATTTGCCGTAAATGATTGAGATAATTTAGGTTGGAATAACAATTTATATGATTTGCTCGTAGTACAATTATTATTTAAAAAATGACCATTTCACGTGATGACATCTGACCAATTATTGGATACGGGCGTTGGGTATTGGTGTTGAATTAATAAGTAGAAAGTTCAATAGCCATATCACTGTCATGCATTTAGAAAGGGCTGTGCATTGAGAGAATTAATGTTTAATACTAAAAGGTACATTTAAAGAGTACGAATCTATAGAAGGTATTTGAACAACGATAAGAATTATCAAAAATTTTATTTTTAAATATTTATTTTTTGCATAAAATTTAAATTCAAATTCACAATTTTTTTACGTTTGAAACAGTAGTAAAATACCATGTCCTTGGTCAATAATGAATTGACTGTTAAAAGACCTGATAGTCTTTTCTCTATCCTATACGAACCTTGCTACCTCTACGCGGTGTTTGGGAGAAACAGTTATGAGTGAAATTAGCATGTCAGACGATTGTATCTGTAATGTGCTTTTGAAATTTTTAAATATGAACAATAATAGTTTCGTCTATCTGTAAATAATTATTTATTCGTGTTTTAACTCAATTACATAACCGGTTGACCATCTCAAAGTTTGAAATCGTATAAAGATTTATAATTAAGTCTCATTCACAAGCGATCGATCTACATATGTGGCCTCAAAAGTCACAATACACGTTATATATGGCGCAGTCAATTCTTTTAATTTTTGGATTCTTCCAATTCCAATAATACTTCCAATTCCAATAAAAACCATTGTAAGCTTCCAATGCCCATCACTGATTGTAATTATTGATAAAATTAAATCACAAAGACTTCAATGTATATTGGTGCTTCTATGTTGGCTTTTTTAGTCAAGCGCGAAACAACTATTCCAGGACGATCCATGATGTAAATAGTATCATTATTTTCTAAGCAATATGAGAGATACAGCATATAATATCACTTACTGAAAAGTTGTATCCCGAATGTACACAGACTCCTGTACTTTTCAATTGTTGTTGGTGGAAGTGATTCAATAATGAAATCAAGCATATCTTTTTGTAAGTTTTAATAGCTTCATTCTATCCCCTAAATATTTTATATCATGAATGTCTCCTGTTCTTGCTACTACTCCGGCTAATATTTCTCTTGAATTATTACAAAGTTTTAGCAATAAATCGAATTTTCTGCCTATTGATATTAAAAAAATTTTTTAATTTAAACTATTTATATTGTAAAATTACAAATTTTAAAGACTTAATTTACACGAATAACGGATTCTCCGATTTTTTTTCTCGAATTTTTGATGTAGATGAACCACTATCTGACCTATAAGATGGAAATATGTGGTTAATAACTAATATTGTAAAAAATGCAATAATGTTTGAGAATTACAAACTTTCCAATTCTTATTTCTTCAATATCTTTTAATGTCATATCAATAATAAAAGTCCAAACATGACTCACAAGCCACTGGCAACTTTCAAGGTAATCCACATGTCAATGCATGCTGTGTTGGATTCTCATGAAACTATAATAAGTCATGATTTGACTGATGTCTTGGTAGGCTCTTCTATGAAAGCCATATATGCTTCTTAAGGTGGTTGCATCAAGATCAAATATTATGATCCAGTTACCAACACGTAGTAACCTTCATTAACAGTGGCCATATTGATAATTAGATATGATTTTTTGTGTGAAGTACAAATGTATTTCACAGAAATTTACTTAAATATACTGCCTTAGACAATCATAACATTACTTAAAAAGAGTAACTCACAATTTATTGAATACTAAATGTATTCATTTTAGATTGTAATGTTGTAATTTTAGGTTATACAGTAGTAAGCAAAATTTTTGGAAAATGTCACGTGACTTTACTATTTATTTAATGATAAATTTAACCTAAAGCCAGGTTTTGGTTATTATCCTAGATCCCATGTATAAATAAATGTTTTTTAAAGTATATATTACGTGAAATATACAGTTACAGATAAAGGTCTACACCTGGGATACAGATTAAGGACCCTTGAATGTACGATAAAGAAGAATTCATGAGAAAACTATGAATAGTTAGGATACTCTAAGGAGCTAACAGACTTCAAGTTATCATAGTCGATCTTCTCAAAGGATATATTACTGTGCCAGCTGTGGTAAGGTATAAAGGTTTTTGAACATTTAACAAATCTAACTCACTAGCTTTTATTTTAAAGGAAGTATTTTGTGTATAATTTATTATTACGTAAACATTAAATATAATTAACAAGAAAGATGACGTTAATCTCAAAAAATTTTTTAATAATTCTAAAGATGATAGATATCACGTGTCTAATCCTAATATTATATTCAAGAAATTTGAAACTCTAAATATTAAAATAAAAAGGAGAAAGTAATAAGTAGTGATCAGTGTATAAAATTTAGACCAAAAATCATGTGTACAAGTTGTATTAAAAATAAAAAATTAATGTATGTATTACATAATATTTCCATTTTTATAAATAATTTATCCATTTTTATATATAATTTATCTATTTTTAGTAATTAT